CGCTGTTGCGCCAAAAGAATTCTGTGTTTTTAACATTATGTAACTGTGGTTCGCCATTGCGATGTATGTGTATTGCTGTGATATATTTTGGTGCTTTCATTAAATATAAATGAAAGATATCGTCATGAATTTTTTGTATCCAAATCAAGATCAAATTTACCACTGATGCATATTCGTCGAAACAAAATTAGCGTTCGAACAAGAATCGTCAAGTTATTACTAGCCTTTCGAACTACGCATTAGTATCGTTATTCGCTTCGTAACATTACGAGAGCGCATAAGACCCTTACAGCTGCGAATATGTTTGTGCGCATGCGCGTTTAATGTGTAACGGAGTTATACGCTAAGCTAAAGTTATCTAATTCAGTTAATGTTGCAGATTGCTTTGTTCCTTAATCTTCGAATTGGATCCGGCTTATTATTTTTTGCAGACTGTTAGAGCAATTTTATAAAAGTAAGCATGAACTTTCGATTATGTCAAATAGAATTTCCGATATATATTTACTACAAAGCGAAAGTATGTTTTGAAATCCGAAATCTGTTTATCAATTTCACGCTGCTCTGCGGCAGAGGGGGGGGGCAGAAACGTCATTATTAGATTATGATAGATTAGAAAGATTATGTCAAATAGAATTTCGGATATATATTTACTAATATGTAATTTGTATCTACAAAGCGAAAGTATGTTTTGAAATCCGAAATCTGTTTATCAATTTCACGCTGCGGATTGGAAGTTGATCTGTCAGCACTATCCTTATCTTCAGAGCAGATGTTTTTATTTTATTTGGTTTATAATTCCGTACTAAGTGTAGTATTTCATCTCAAGTGACCCAGAGGTTATTGAAAACGAAAACATTTCCATTGACAAATTAGTCGGTATTCTCAACACAGCAATTATAGGACTTGAACAGCGGAACTTTGTAACTAAACAAGAAATTATGTCTGTTTAATAGAATTAAAGAGAAAGTATTATCACATGAAACGAAGCAACTTACATTGAAGGAAATGTTTAATAAAGTAAACAAATAAATATTAAGCTTTTTCTTTTTGTAAATTTTGATACCCTTTAGATCATAATTGTTCTTTATTTCATAAATTACGGTTTCATATTTTTAATTTTGTAATTTCTGCATGCCATCTTACCAGATTTAAACTGATGATCTATAATCCGGAAAGATCGATAATATCCGGAATCGCCGAAGTCCCGACGAGTCCGGATTAACGACTTTTGACTGTATATCATTTCAATAAAATGCATCAAACATAACAGGCTCTATATAGGTCTGAAAAAAAATAATTTTAATTATAATCATCCCATACAAGCACAGTTTACTTCTAAACAGATTGGTACTAAGATGTTTTATAATTCCTTACTAAATATAGTATTTTCATTTTGATGTAATCTGATATGATTTCAATCAAATTCCTCGTCATTATAAATATCACGAATACACATAAATTTGTTTTCTGGTTGCAATTTTCTAATTTCGACTATGCATAATGTATGCTTTACGCATGTGTGCGTTGAAAGAAATGTTTAATAAAGTAAACAAATAGATATTAAGCTTTTTTTTTTGTAAATTTTGATACCCTTTAGATCATAATTGCTCTTTATTTCCTAAATTACGGTTTCATATTTTTAATTTTATAATTTCTGCATGCCATCTTACCAGATTTAAATTGATGATCTATAATCCGGAAAAACCGATAATCTGGAATCGAAGTCCCGACGAGTCTGGATTAAAGACTTTTAACTGTATATGTTCATAAGATCTCAGAGTTAATTCATTATTTTAACAAAACCTAATCAAACAGTGTCACTAAGATGACTAACATTAGATTGCTTTTGCAAAAATATCACTTATAAGAGAATATAAAGTCAAAGGAGTTGTTTCATATAAGAAAATACATATGTATCATAATTAAATTTAAAACTAGTTTGTAATGTAAAGTTATTTATTAACCCTCTGAGCAGTGCGGGATTTTGGATCCGTCGAGAAGACCTGTATTTAAAGAGTCTGTATTAGCTAAACCTATTTTTGTCTCTATTTTCAACATTTATTAAGATTACAGTTATATTATTAAACAAGGTAAGAAGCAATTATCTTAAATTATAAGCTGCTGTGCACTAAGTGACAAAATATCTCATGACCGGATAAAGCTGTCATGGTGCTCAGAGGGTTAAAGATATTTAACTAGTAAACGTGAATGTAATAATAAGAGCACAAGGAAAAGCCGGAGCAGTGTCGATGCTTGCTTAGAACCATATTGAAGAAAAATTTTGATTGCATAGTATGCTAATAATGTTAACTTGGTAATATCGAAAGAACTTGGCAGTCAAGGCAGTTTTAATTCCATTTTTATATGCAATTGATATTTGTGGCCACAATCACTTGGCACTCTAGTCTTGCCTTTCCACAGAAGATTTACATTTTTGATATTGTTGAGATAGAAAACAAGCCTGCGAAATTACATCTTAGCACAGTAAAGAGCAAAGCTGAAATGCGTAGTTACGCAAGATGGAAGCATGCGAAGAGAAAAGTTTTGGTTTGCAATCTGGTGATTGGTCAAGAGACATCTGCATTAAGGGTTACATAAGATTGTATGATTAATTTGAATGACACAGTTTAGACTTAAGCACTATTTTAAGGACAGATAGATGAAGTTCCCAAATGAAATAAAAAATGTAAGAGGTTATAGTGAATTAAATTTAGAAGTTTGCTTTCATATTTTTTACCTTACATATATTCTAAGATTAAAAAGTGTCTATTTTGGTGTGTTCTATTACCAATTGAAATTTACATTAATTAAAATAAAAAAAATCCATAAGCTTTAAAATACCTTATATATATATATATATGAAAACAGGGTTCATAGCCACACATTTTAGTTAAAAAAATAAGTGCCTATAAGCACTTTTCAAGCACATTTTAAGAAAAAAAAAATAAGCACCTGTATAATTACATTATACACAACTGCATAACCTTAAAAGAAAAATTAGACTTGCAATTTAAAATATGAGCAATGCAATATTTATTAAGAGAATGAGCATTACCTCAACCATAGAAAACAACTTTTTTTTTTTTTAAATTTTAAATGACAGTTCAATTTACAGAATTAGTTTACAATGAGAGAAAAATGAACTATGCAGAACTAAACTATATTACAAGATTTAATGATGAAATTTCAGTTCAAAATATAGAAAATAAATAATAATAAGCCATATTAATTGTACTCGCTTGGCACCTAATAAAAAATACAATTTGTTTTTCCACTCATATTAATATTTAAATAATTTAAATCAAAATTCTGAACTTTTCTAAATTTTCATTGCATTACAGTTTTCCCTTAACATATATTCCAAGCAAAGTAATTTAAGTAAAAAAGAGGAACATTTCTGAAATCAGAAGGGAAATTGCTTCATGCAGTCATCCTTAAACAGTAAAAGCTTAACTAACCCGCATACTCGGAAATTGCCGAATATTCCGCATAGTCGAGACTAGAAAAAGAGGAGGGGCGGGGGGATTGTAGCCATTCTTTAGATTTCTCGGCTAAATAAATGATTTTGACATTTCGATATGTGCATCATATAAATATAGACCAACGGAACTGAGAAATATTCTGCTTAGAAAGCACAGTAAAACTCTTTTAAGTGTTCATAAATAAATCTCAGACTGAACATCAAATTAATTATCTCTGCAAAATATCGCATACATTATATTGCGCAATACGTGCGGGGTAATTCTTCCATATGTGATATTACGCAATCGGAATCAACAGCTGTCGGTATTCGAAGAATAAAGAACTAAATAAAGGAAAAGAAAGAGACTTACTAATCTGGGGTGTTTTTGATTCTAATTTTGAACAGACTGCGTTACATTTCTGGAATAGAATCATTCTTCGCTTGGGTTGGGTAGACCGCAAAACTTTTAGTCCTATTCAATCCAGATTGGACAGTGACCAAAAAAAAAAAAGTCCGCTGCTTCAATATTAAGAGATTTTGCGGAGAAAGGAGAGAACCTCCCAACCTCCGAAATGTATAATGTATTGGGGGAAAAAATTATTCTGACTATTCGATTACTTTCCTTTTATTTAAGCCATTCCGAATATTATTCCTTAGAAAGCTAATCTGTGTAAAAATATACCCATTTTTTGGAAGTTTATTTACACTTCAGCAGCTACTGCAACTATATTATTATAAATATTCATACATATGCTCATAATATAAGCATAACGATCATAATAAACACGAATATGAACTGACCATGCGGAACTAGAATGGAAATTATTAAGATCTTGATAGAAATTCAAAAGTGTGTAGTATTTGGGTGGGCGGAAAAGAATACCGAATGTACCGGAATTTTCTACGGTTTTCGCAATTCTTTGAACAAAAGAACGACGTGCAACTGTCTATACTCTCGCGCGCACCATAGGTTACGTTAATGCAGAGAAAGGGGAAAAGCTATTTCCGGGAGTATGATTTACCATCTGACGTTCCATATAAGGAAGAAAAGTTGTTTATTTAGTTTCAGCTTTGGTACGGGAGGAAAAATGCGCGTTAATTAAAAAAAGCACTAAAAGCAAAAAATAAGCACTAAAATAAATAAATAAATAAATAAATAAATAATAAAAAAAAAAAATAAGGGCTTTAAAGCAAAAGTAAGCACCTATAAGAGCCTTTATATTTTATTTTCAAATATAAGGACTTATAAGCACTTGTAAGGACGGCTACGAACCTTGGAAAAATTGCTTAAGAAATTTGTTCTAGTAAATCTGAACTGTATTATCTTTTACATGATAAAAAATACTTTTTGTTTCTTTATCACCAATGCGAAAGTAATTTAAATGTTATCAATAATATAACTGCACTGCTCTGAAATGAATTACGATTCCTATAGAGACAACAAACTTTATTTCTTCTATAAACTCCATTCTGAATGATTTTAATGTAAAGAATAACAAAAAAAAAAAAAAAAAAAAAAAAAAATTCTTTTCCACTATCAACATATATTAAACATTTTATGATGTTTACAAGGAATCCATACATTGTACTTAAAATTTTCTTTCCTGATTCTGATGATGATGACTGCTGTAATGAATACTGCTTATTATGCACTTACATATAATTTCTCAATTTCTTATGCAGCTTCTTTGCCAGTTTCTTTTGACTGTTGTAATAAATTAAAGAAAGCCATTTGTTCTTCAAGTGCTTTTAATGCAGGATCTGCTTTTAAATTACCTCTAGTGTCAAATTCAGCATCAAAAAGCCATAGAGATTCAATGTCATACAGAGTTCTTGTATCCTCCAATAAGATGTGAACGACAATATTTCCTGTTGTGAAGGGGAAAAAAGCACTGAATGATAATGCACGTAAAATGAATAGCAACTATAATATATATATATATATATATATATACTAACTATAAAATATATATCTACAATTAAAAGATTTATTTCATGAAGAAATAAAAGTAAACACCATAGTCATTTCTGTCTTTATTGAGGTTGACAGGCACTTACCCATATCAAGCGCTTTCCAATTATGAACAGCTTGGCCTTCAATTATGAAATAAGGATCAGTTTCATGTTTCTTCATTTTGTACTGAAACAAATTGAAACATTAGTAGATTTTATACATTTTGCACAGATATAAAAAATGGAATATAAACTTGCTATAATATAAAATTTCTTATTAGTGATGGCTATGATATGTTTTCACTCAAAAGTAATAAAAATATTTAAATTGTAAAAAAAGTTCACTATACTCCTAATTATCCACATGTCATCTCCCAAAAATGTTCTTAGATTGATATTTGAAGATGATGAAAAACTTCGACTATTTGAAAGAAATTTATGATTTTTGATGCAATGCTAACAGCATAAATGACATTAAAAGCAAACCATAAATGCATGGCTGGGGAGAGGAAGAAGGATTCTTAGAAGCGGGAGAGGAAAGAAGAAAATCATCTTTAACATGTCGTTATCGTAGCTGATGTGGTAGGGAAATCTATTGTAGGTGATCTTCGAACAGTTGAAAAGCAGCAGAATGTTTAGACTTTTGTATTTTTTTAGGGCAGGGTCGTTCAGGCCTTTGTGCACACTTAAACCAACTTGCAAAATTTTAAATTTACCTATACATAAATGCTATTACATGCTTTGAATAGAATACAAATATAGTTACATGTGTTCAGTTCCACTGGAAAAGTATCAGCATTTTCCCAAGTACTATGTAAAATAATACGTTTGGGCATATCATGTCATTCGCTTACATAATCCCCTTATTGAGAATAAAATAAAATACTACTGGTTAGTCCATTTAGATAATAATAACTTCTCGAAGAAACTTATCACATAAAAAAACACACTTTATTTCTACAGTGCGGTCAAGCACATGGTATCAGTATATATCAGGTTACACTTAGAAAGCCACAAATCACAGTTACAACTATTATATATAAAAAATATAAGAAAAAGAAATAATACAATACAAGGCATAATATAACACATTTTGTTTTCTGAAATGTTGTTTACAAACAATAAAAGAATTACACACATTTTTATTAATTTTTAGTTACATAAAATTATTTCAATATTACCATGCTATTTTTAAGCTATTAGATTATACTGACTCATGCTACTATCTAGTGGCCAAAAGCTCTCCCAACATTAACTTAATTACTGGTGGGGGAGTACTTTTCCCAACATTACTCCCCCCACCAGTAACTAAGTTATGATATAAAGAGAACATGGTAAGATAAATTTGAGAAGTGATCATCATGATTTAAATGCGAAATAATGTTTTATTATATTTAAAGTATACTATTCATAAAGCATAAAATAAAACAATTATAATCATATATCAAATGATAAATACACATCACTACTTTAGCTAATATATAATGTGATGAAAACTATAATTTTGATATAATATAGAAGTGAATATGAATTTATCAGTTATTTAAAAAAATTGCTCAATTTTCATTTGTAATACATTGAACATATGTCGACAACTTATTAAATCATAAATTATGAAAGGAAACTAAAGTATTGCCCTCTTTCACACAATACGTATTTTATATAAACTGACAAAATGCATTAACTAGAACGACATTAAGCATCTTATTTGCTATTATTTAAAAGAACCATCAAGTGTATTCTGAGGTTAATGCTATATGGTTTTAACTTTTGCAAACATGACAATGACAAATCACTAAAATTAATAAAAATTATCAGAATAACTCTGTTTCTAAAATCTCCTAGTATAAAATTCAATATCAATGACATACAATAGAAAATACTTTAATCATCAAGATGTTTACATATTAGTAGTATAAAATGCAATGCTATGGTATTTCTCCCAACACACATTTGGTTGCACTCAGCAGTGACTGATGACTGTTTGAATGACTATATGTATGTTGACTGTGTACTGAAAGCTAGTACAAGAAAGAAAAAATTAAATAGGTAAGGAGTTCTACACAGATTCAGCACAAACAGAATTAAAATTTTTTTAAAGACAGTCAAAAGTCGTTAATCCGGACTCGTCGGAACTTTGCGATTCCGGATTATCGATTTTTCCGGATTATAGATCATCAGTTTAAATCTGGTAAGATAGCATGCAGAAATTATAAAATTAAAAATATGAAACCGTAATTTATGAAATAAAGAACAATTATGATCTAAAGAGTATCAAAATTTTACAAAAAAAAAAAAAAAAAAAAAAAAAAATTGTTTACTTTATTAAATATTTCTTTCAATGTAAGTTGTTTAAGTTGCTTCGTTTTTTATGTGATAATACTTTCTCTTTACTTCTATAAACAGACATAATTTCTTGTTCAGTTACAAAGTTCCGCCAAAAAATTAGAAAATTTGAATGATGGCCAAACTGCCATCTTCAGATATTTTACTCAAAAACCAATTGATTTATATCGGTTCAGGGATTCAAAATCTGAACACTAGATGGCAAAAGGTTGTTGATAACAAGGGTGATTACATTATTGATTAAAAATAAAAACATATTAAAAATGTATTCATGTGAATTTAATGTAAGAAAGCAACATTACTTTCCGGTCCCCTTACTAATTTAACTTACCAGAACTACATATTTGAATTCCTGAGTTGGACTACAATTTTCTAAACTAGGTGAATTTGAGTAGTTTGTTACTGCTAACTGTATAAATAGAGGGCACTAATACAATGTAAAGTTGAGTGTAAAGCTGCTATCTGTGAGTGCTATACTAAAAAAAACCCTATGCTATAAACCTTAATAATGTAAAATGCTTGTTTTGTATGCAAAAATGTTGCTAACTTTGAAGCATTGTTAAAATGTATAAAAAAAATTGTGAACTGCTACTATTTGTGAAAATAGATGCAAACTACTAAAGATGTAAAAATAATAATATAATAATAATAATAAAAAAAAAAAAAAAAAAAAAAAATTAAAAGTTCGAATAAACATTTTAACTGAATTAATTTAATGAAATACATGTGCATGTGTGTAAGATAATAAGCAATAGCCCTTTAATTCTTCATTCTAATTTGGGTATTTCCCCTTTCTCATCTAAAAATAGTAATAATGTTTTAAAGACTGTATAATTTCTAGATTAATCCATATCATATGATTTTTACACAATGATGACAATGTAGCTAATTTGGAACTTAAAATTTCCTGAAGTGAAACTGTTCTCTTCATAAGCTGCCATACTGGATAATTATGCACTTAGCTTCTAGACTGTTTTCTTCTTATTACAACAACATAAAAAATGTAAATATTCCGTAAACAGGCCCGATTAGAATGCCAATTGAATTGTGGTGACAAATGGCAACTGAAATAAAAATGAATATTTAATCTGCCTCGGTTGTCAAGTTTGCTATTTGTTACAGATCAACATCCACATGATTGCATCTATGAAATCAATACTATATTACATATACAGTCAAAAGTCATTAATCCGGACTCGTCGGGACTTCGGCGATTCCGGATTATAGATCATCAGTTTAAATCTGGTAAGATGGCATGCAGAAATTATAAAATTAAAAATATGAAACTGTAATTTATGAAATAAAGAACAATTATGATCTAAAGGGTATCAAAATTTTAAAAAAAAAAAAAAAAAAAAACTTAATATTTATTTGTTTATTTTATTAAACATTTCTTTCAATGTAAGTTGTTTAAGTTGCTTTGTTTTTTATGTGATAATACATTCTCTTTAATTCTATAAACAGACATAATTTCTTGTTCAGTTACAAAGTTCCGTTGTTCAAGTCCTATAATTGCTGTGTCGAGAATACCGACTAATTTGTCAGTCGAAATTTTTTTGTTTTCAATAACCTCTGTTACTTTCTTCGCTATTGGAAGCAAATTATAATGATGAGGAATTTGATTTAAATCATATCAAAGATGGAGTACATCGAGATGAAATACTACATTTAGTAAGGAATAATAAGCCAAATAAAATAAAAACATCTGCCCTGAAGATAAGGATAGTGCTGACAGATCAACTTCCAATTCATTGCGCGGCGCCGCTGCGTTAAAGATAAACAAAGTTTAGATAAACAAACGTTAAAGTTTAGATAAACAAAGGATATGCCTTTATCCATTTTTTGTAGCAATTCCACTTTTTGTTTAATGAACTTCGAAACATACTTTCGCTTTGTAGATCATTTACATATTAATAAATATATATCAGAAATTCTATTTGACATAATCGAAAGTTCAAGCTTACTTTTATAAAATTGCTCTAACAGACTGCAAAAAATAATAAGCCAGATCCAATTCGAAGATTAAGGAACAACGCAATCTGCAACATTAACTGAAATAGATAATTAAATAATTTTAGCTTAGCTTATACTGTCCGTTATACATTAAACATGCACTCGTACACGTATTTTGCGCACGCGCACATTCTCAGGCGTAAAGGCCTTACGCGCATGCGTCAATGCGACGCAAAGAGAAGTTTGAAGCTTTGAGGTCCGGATAATAGATCATTCCGGATTATGGGTGTCCGAATTAACGACTTTTGACTGTACACATATGGTGATTTAAAAATATCTGGTAAAAATTTTAAAACAGGTAAAGAGGACCTGTTTTAGAATTAGTGGATTTTGTAACATGTGGGCAGAAATGGTGCATTGTGGAAAGCAAATGGTAAAATTGTTTCATTGACATAAATCACTATTCTCGGTCTGAATTTTGAGCAATACAATATCATTAGATGAATATGGAACTCACCAAGACGCCTTTATCCACAGGGCTGCTGCTTAAATGCAGTATCTACTCAAAGGAGGGGCAGAAAGTGATTCTCGAGTATCTTCTGGCAGCAGCTGTCTCTTTTCTGCCCACAGCCTCATTAATAAAACATGTCAGAGAGCTTTGTGTTCATTTAGCTATGCACAACACTCAAAATTTGCATAGGAAATTATAATTAACACTAGCAGAAGCTTTTAGCTGCTGCTCAATAGTTCTGTCTCACTTCAGTGTGCCAATTCTGCACATACATTCTATTACAAAATCTACTTATTTCAATCTCTTCTACCTGCCCTTACATTTTTTAAAATATGTATGTGTCTATATATGTATGTATATAAAGTTGCTGTTCTTTGTCAACCTTTTTTTCTTTAAAATACACCACACACCTTTATGATATTTTGGGATTTTTTCCCTTGATTACTCTTTATACTAATATGTTCACTTGATTTACAAACTCAGAAATAATAAAATACACTTACAAGTTTTCTAATTAACTCAGATGCAGCTTTACAATGTCTAGGTGATTTAGCTGTTGCTAAAACCATGAAGTCTGTGTAATGAAGTTCTTTTGGTACTGAGATCACTGCTATATCCAAGAGATTCTCCTTCCGCAAGACTTCGACTAATTCTTCTATATCAAATACTCCATGAATTCCACCTGTAGAAGTAAATGGTTTGAAAAAAAGAGACTAACAGACATTTTCACATTATAATAGCATACTGGACACTACTGAAATTATGATTATACAAAAATTAACTCTTTAGATCCATTAGACTTAAATGCTCACATACATAAGCTTGATATAATTAATTGCCAGTATACAGACCTCATTACTTAATATTCACACTGGCCATCATAAGTTGGATTTTCTCACAGATTTGACACTCAAACACAAGGATTTCTCTTCATGATTGAAGAGAGAATAGAATCCAGAATTCAAAATTTGTGTGCAGTAGAGTATAAGATAAAATATGATTTCATAATTCATAAAAGTTATAATTAGCACTTTAATAGTACATATCTTCAATCTTCCCTACTGACTATTATAGAAGTAGCAAATTTATCGACAGAGTGTTCAAGGGATATGATCCTCCAAGGTCGTCAGTCTGTATTTATGCAGTTTACAAGTGTGACAGTATTTTCACTTTTGCTGTCCCATAATCACATTTACATTAAAAATAAACTGATTTTTTTTAAAAAAAACTATATTGCGTATTACAAATATAACACTATTGTATGAAAAAATATTAAAAGTTTTTGGTATCAGAAATTTAGTTTAAAATTAATTAAGTAATGCATTTCAAGACTTTTCAATTATTTTTTTTTATCTTGCATGGGTTAGAGTACCTTTTAGTCTCTACTGTGTATTATTACGAAGTTGTTGTTTCATTTATGGTAACCTGAGTAGTTGAATGTTCCATAAATATACTTTTTCGGCTAGCAGATTGTTGGAAAAAAAATGTTGAGTAAAAAAAAAAAAAAACATGCCTTTACTTCGTGAAAACAAAATGGCGTCCAAAACAAAACTAGCAGGTTGCTGTAGCAGGGTTGGTCAACAAATTTTAGGCAAAAAATCGCTAAGTTACCGTAATCCAAAGATTAAACATACTTTTACCTAGAACTGGGTGCTCCTTTGACTTTTTAAGTGAAAATGTATCGATGTATACATGGATAAAATCAATGGTTTGTGCAATTCTGTGATTTTTTTAAAATTGAAAATAGGTCAATATGTACATGGATACCGAGTTTGTGTAATTCTTTGAATTTGTGTAGTGGCAATTTTTGGCGCTAAAATCACCGCTACACAAAGCCAAAATAACAAGTAAAAGAATTGCACAAACTCGGTACCCATAAATATACTTTTACCCTTGCATGCACATGTATGTGCATATAAAAGTTATACATATATATATATGCATGTGTGTAAGATAAAAATTAGGTAAAATAAAATTATAACTGGCCATCATAAGATTGTTGATCATTATTGTTTTCCAAAACACCTCATCAAAATTTCTGAGTGTGTCTGAATTATTCAACATTTAAAATAAATTATTTTATTGCAAAGACTATTTTGATATTTACTCTGGAATAGATAAACCTTAAAACTGAGAAAAAATAATATAAATTTGGTGTTGCTTCACTGCTTAGTAAAATATCTATGCAAGCAAATTTTAAAAATACAAATATATGAAAAGAAATGTGAGTCACTGTATATGAATTAAACAAATTAACTTATTGATGGAGCTCATAAAGCTACAATCTAATTGCAACTCTATGAACCTTTTTTGACCCCATACATGTAGATTCTTAAGCCAACTTGTTGGCATAGTAGTCAGGAACCCAGTTTTAAATCCCACAGATGTAATGGATGTAAATATGTAATGTCTCTGCAGCATGGGTGCACTTAAAATACTATTCAGCTGAAAACCCTCTCAGAAAGTTGGTTGTAGGAGAAAAGGAAAGGAGACCCTCGTATCTCTTCCCATGCAATTAAAATATTATGCTTTAGCTCAAACATAAAGTATGGTAGAAATTATTTCTGAAAAATGCCTGATTGTTTTCTAGTGAAATATGTATAATAAGTTCATAAAATTAAAGATACTATAAAATTTTAGGCTTGTGTCCAAATATTTGATAAGCATTATTACAAACTACAAATACCTTAGCAAAAATATTCAGTATAAAGCAAAATATAATTCTAAATTAAGATTAAATCCTGCACAGATTCCAAAGTTACATAAATAAGAAGGAATTAAAAAAAAAAAAAAAAAAAAAAATATTCAAAAAGGAATGTTAATTAATAAATATCTATATATCCAAACAAGGGATGTTTTTGTAAATGGAACTGGCTTGTATTTACTTAACACATAGAAGAAACGTAAAAATACTATGCAGCCAATCATGCATTTAATCAAAGAGGCTATTATCAGCACTCCCCAGTTTTTGCCAGTTGGTCACTGCTGTGTAAAAACGTTATGTATGTATTACATTAATAAACTTACGTTTCATATGATGATAAGAATGTTTTATTTCGAATTCTTGATCAACATGATACGTTTGTTCATTCCTCTCATTATCAAACTTTTGATAATCTTCATAGCTAGGAATCACTACGGCATCAGAATCAGAAAATGTTTTGTACTTTACACTTGCTTTAGAATGCAAATCGTTGTTTGTAACACACATATTGTGATTTTTTCCATCACTCTCAGATAGTTTATCACTGCCTAATTTAGGTTCATCTATACTCTTCCGAATATCGCCTAATATCTTCGCGGCCTCATCATTAACATCAAAATCTTTTAATACGTCCTTTAATATATTCTGAAATTCTTCATCATCAAACCCTTGTGCGCGTTCATCTTTAGAATTTTCATTTGCTTTGATTACAGTATCATCAGATTTCATGCAGTTAGATTCATGAAATTTTTTTAAGTTATAACAAAATATGCAACTGTTATAGGGCTTCAAACACAACACTGTCTTAGACGTTTTTAAATTAGTAGAAAACGATCGTAATGTCGAATAAATATTACAGTTAAATGAAGTCAGTCTGCTCGTAGCACACTTCATATGTTTAAACAATTTATAAGAAGCCATAATCCAAATTTATGCTAGATGAAAACAAAATGTAATCTTTTCATAAAACAGAAACAGTGAACACTGCCATAAATTTTTAAAAACCCACTGTATAACAAAAAACGGCTTTAAATGTGAACATATTTTTTTTGTTTAAACTTTGACGTTGACAATCACGTGATGTCAAAATACAAAATTATGTAATAAGACAACTGCTTAATATTCTGACCAATAGGTAGACATCTTGTTTTGCATCATCAAAGAAGTTTTTTAGTCTGCTTACGTGCTTACAGAGAAATAAAGTTGGTCCTTAGCTGAGATAACGTACAAGCCCATAATAAAAATAAAAATAATAATAAGATAATAATAAGAAGAAAAGAAACTTTTGTTCGAAATCCAAAATATTACTGAACGGAGAATTTTTATTTGAAATCAATAGCAATATAAAAGAAAGTGCGGGTGTTCCTTCATTGAATCTTTGTTATGTATTTTATAAAAAAAGTAAAATGAAAAGCCATTTCGATTTTCAAATACAGAACTATAAATTAATTTCGTTTAAATATGATTTGAGCTCATTATAGATTTTGAGTTTTTATTCATAATTTTTAAATACTATGATACTGTAGGCTCCTTGGCTGACATCCCTTGGCTGTGGTCTTTAATATTCAAGTTTTGGTTTTCAAGTTGTTTACTATGCGATGCAATTATCTCTTAATGGGACTATTTTCTCTCTTGGCTGGGAAATTTTTTTAAAAAAATAGTACTTTTGGTACGTAGCTATTTCAAGCAATAAATAGTTAAGAAAGAATTGAATCTAAAGGTGAAGTCGTGACCTAACAATTAAACGTGTGGTATGTAGGGCATTTAGTGGCCTAGGGCAGTAGGTTCCGTTATGTGATGTTCCATTGTAGATCTGTGACCAAGCGGGTTACAGGAAGTCATTCACCTTGACATTTCATTTATGTGTTTTTCATGAGATGGTAGAATTCAGTCTGATACTGTTGAGAATTTTTTTAATCTGGTAGTCGCATAGTAATATTATTTTATTTATAGGTATGTTGTCCCGGAAATTAATTTTTCATATAGTCCCGTCACTGAAAAAGGTTCAGTGTGCTTCATTTGATGAACAGTTATTATGTTTTTGGCAGAGAATATCAACTAAAGTTTCTGTTGAACCATATGAAAAGTGGTCAGCTGCGGCAAAAACTCATGATTGGAACAGAGCTATCTCGGATGCCGAGAAAATAGTTGGTTATCCTACTACTTATTTTAGTTTAAAGTGCCTTCTAAGTGAAGAGTTTACTAATGTTGCCATGCATTTGCGAAAACTAATTGGAACAAATCATCCTATCCTTAAAACTGCTAAGTGAGTGTAATTTCATGTCATTCAGAATTTGCAATTGATAAACTTCCTTTGTTTTATAAAAGTTCATTAGTGAATTTTTTCCCAGCTTTAACATTGTTTTTAATTTTCACATTTTAGCATTACTTTTTATAGTTATATTTTAAATTTTTATCATTGTAATTTTTGATATAATATTTCGTATAAAAATGCCATTGCTCTAAAAATTCTGTAAAAGAGCAGAAGTATGTCTCTAATTGTTATATTGCAAACAGGAAGTTCACTAGAAAAGAATCTACCATATTTACTCGCGTAATAGTCGCACTCCCGTTTTTAAGCAGAAAAATTTCCCGCATAATAGTCGCACCTAGACTTTCACAATGAAGAATCAGCAAAAAAAGTGCGACTATTTTGTGAGTAAACATGGTACTTTGGATTTTAAAAGTAATATTGTAAAGTAATATTGTAAAAGTAATAATATAAAGTAATACTGTATGCAGACAGCTTTATGAAAAGAAGTAGATACTTACATATTATTGGAACCAGGATGGGATTTAGATTTGATGGGATCCTAAGCTATTTGAGATATGGGGCCCTTTATGAGAGTTGTGAGTCAATTTCTTTTTACATGGGATAATGTAAAATTTTTTTTGTGGGGGGGGGCAAGAAAGTGGGGGCCCTAAGCTCTAGCTTGTGCAGTTTGTACGTACATCTGGCACTAATTGGAACTACCTTAGCAGAAAACACGAAAGCTTCAGAATGTGCCAAACTCTGCTAATCATATGCATAAAAATTATTGAAGCAACCACACGCATGGCAAACATTCAGTTTCGAATGTTCTCATTCTTGTATGGGTTCTCTTTATAGTCTTCCAAATTCCAATGGCTTTTATAAAAAAATTACGATTATTTTTGTTGTAGATTCCTTTTATAAAATTTATGCTTGTGGGATTTTCTTGTAGTAGAGGAAGCAGGCAAGGGTGAAATTTCTGTAGAAATACAGCAATTTGCTGCCGAAATGGTAAAGGAATAATGCTGCGAATTCTTTCTTAAAGCGATCATTGCAAAATTTTCACCATAGCACAAACAAAACCCATTTATAAATAGGTTTACTGATTTTTTTAAATAAATATACAGTTGAAATGTAAAATATGTATGTGTGTAATATACATATTTTACATCGACCTGTTGCTAGCGACTCCAGCTCCTACTCCTTTTACCCCAAAATCTGCCCGACTCCAACTCCACAGCCCTGCAAACAGGGACAGGCTTCTCTTCATCAGGAGCAAACAAATCGGCAAGAGTAAAAAGCAACAGTCATATTTATATCCACGGCAGTAAAGCGAATGAGAAGATGTCACCATCTGTTGGCAAAAATAGTAATGAAATTGAAAAATAAGTTAATAGGATTTTAAAAGTTTTAGGAAGGACTGGATTAGTCTTAAAGTCATTAACTAAACATGATAAATCTTTGTGAATGCGAGAAGCATCAAGGAAATCAAATTCACCAATTGAAGAAGGTTTTTGAAAAATTTTTGCAGACCCAAAGTCAAAATTATTATTAAATTCCTAATAATGATTAGCTATCAAAGACTGTTGTTCATTTATTAATTTTGCATTATCAGACATAAAAGCACAATATGCTAAGGCTGTTACTTTGCTAATTTTATGTTTCACTTTGGTTTGTTTCTCCTCTGTTTTGATTGATAGTTGTTAGACAATCTGTGAATCCATTTGAAGGTGGAAGTGAGCTGATGAGATGCAGATGAATAAGTTGAAATCACATAGAAGTTTCAATAAATGATTGTGAAGGAGCTGAGGTGTTCTTTAGCTTTTTTGATATGGAATACACTGTCTTGTCCAATTTGTGATATCATTGCTGATATTTGGCTACACATATCAGCTATAAACTAATTTCTATGTCATTTGAATGGCTGAATGAGCTAAATTATGTGTGTAATTAAAACATAATTTTCGTAATGCTTTGGGAATATAAGGTCTTGGTATTCTAGTAGATATCACAGTATAATTCTGTTTCTGAATTTGGAAGCTTAACTTTTTTTATTTGTAAAAAAATGTTAGCATTTGATATTTGAGTACTTTGCATATTATGCGATTGACTGTGAAACTTGCTAAGCTGTGCAGTTTAGTGCCAGTTATGGATTAGTGTGAAGTAACAATATGTGCATAACATCCACATTGTTTGATGTAATCTTGATTGATTCTCAGAAAGCCACATTTTGTGTTTATGAACAAGGATATAAATTGGTTCTTCTGTATTATTTTCATGCATTTTGAAAAAAAAAAAATTACTTAAATTTTATCTACCTATCTTCCGTAGAACAGCAAGCGGTGGATTATTTTCAAAGTTATGAGATTCTGTCATCACAAAATTGCCTGTTAATGAACATAATATGATCAGCTGAGTATGACTAACAAAGCAGTAATAAATTAGAACAATATCTAGTATAAGGTGACCACATTTTCATTGAGACAAAGCGAGACAAATAGAAGGAAATGAAAATTGTAATTTAGTTACGAAAGCAGATCAATAATTCAAAAAATATATTTTATTGTATACATTCATATATTTGTCTATAAATATACAAAAATATAATATAATAAAAATTTATAGTTACCAATAGTTAATAATAAATTAATTATTGGTAACTATTAAAATATTTGTAAAAACTATAATTTGAATACAGTCAAAAGTCGTTAATCCGGACTCGTCGGGACTTCGGCGATTCCGGATTATCAATTTTTCCGGATTATAGATCATCAGTTTAAATCTGGTAAGATGGCATGCAGAAATTATTAAAATAAAAATATGAAACCGTAATTTATGAAATAAAGAACAATTATGATCTAAAGGGTATCAAAATTTACAACAAAAAAAAAGCTTAATATTTATTTGTTTACTTTATTAAACATTTCTTTCAATGTAAGTTGTTTAAGTTGCTTCGTTTTTTATGTGATAATACATTCTCTTTAATTCTATAAACAGACATAATTTCTTGTTCAGTTACAAAGTTCCGCTGTTCAAGTCCTATAATTGCTGTGTCGAGAATACCGACTAATTTGTCAGTCGAAATTTTTTCATTTTCAATAATCTCTGTTACTTTCTTCGCTATCAGAAGCAAATTAGGTTGATTTTTACATTATGGTAACTTGGCGTTTTTTTGGCGAAAATTTGGCGACCAACTCTCCTACAGCAACCCTCTATTTTTTTTTTCCCGCCGCCCTTTTGTCTTCATGAAGTAAAGACATGTTTCTTTTCTTTTTATCTACTGAACACTTCTTCCAACAATCTACTAGCTAGCCGAATTACACTTATGCTAGAAATTTTATCTAACAAAACTGCTTAATCATGACAAATATTCACTGCAAAATTGGGAAAAAGTGCACAATACCATACTCCCTTACGTGTTTTTTTCAAAATAACACATACACATAAACCATGTACACGCCGACTTATTTTTACTTAAAAAAACATCCCAGAATTGCACAAAAATGGCATTGCGCACACTCTTCACTATATCCATGTACACTGCTTTTTTCTTATTAATTAGAAAAATTTTTACGAAAATACATGACAATTTTCTCAATCTTTAAACCCGGTAAAAAGAACATATATGAAATTACCTGATCGCGAAAAAGTATTTACCCTTTCCAAATATGAACATTTCCACATATAAAATAAATAAAATATCCAAAAACTTTTACATCTAAATCATCTATTACATTATAAACGTCACCAACGAATTCATACCGCAAACTTTACAAATACTTAGTGTCAAATATTTAAATTATTTCCATGCACGTTTACTTCAACTTAAACGTATACCAAATTCCTACAAACATAAAATTCACAAAATAACTATCATTTAATTAAAATATCACTAAACCATGTACACGCCGACTTATTTTTACCTTAAAAAACATCCCAGAATTGCACAAAAATGGCATTGTGCACACTCTTCACTATATCCATGTACACTGCTTTTTTCTCATAAATTAGAAAAATTTCACGAAAATACATGACAATTTTCTCAATCTTTAAACCCGGTAAAAAGAACATATATGAAATTACCTGATCGCGAAAAAGTATTTACCCTTTCCAAATATGAACATTTCCACATATAAAATAAATAAAATATCCAAAAACTTTTACCTCTAAATCATCTATTACATTATACACGTCACCAACGAATTCATACCGGAACCATTACAAATACTTATTGTCAGATATTTAAATTATTTCCATGCACGTTTACTTCAACTAAAACGTATACCAAATTCCTACAAACATAAAATTCACAAAATAACTATCATTTAATTAAAATATAATTAAATTCAAAAACACTACTTAAAATATAAATGAGCACATACATTAAATTAAAACATACATAAATACCCATTCCGAATTCACTTTAAATACGGCCATGGGATCCAAAAATTTCACGACGAACACTGTTTCACACAACACAGAATAAAGCCACATACAAAATTTCCAGATTTTTTCCGATTTCCCCCCCTTTTCCGATTAAAGAACCGTAATTCGTCCATTAATATCACATGACATATCCCATGATCTCTCATTTCCCTCACACAAAATAATGCGTAATTGGAACTGAGTACTGCTCACATTATTATCAAAGTGTCAGGTAGTAACCTTTATCGCCTCCAAAATGTCGCCAAACTACCAGTTACCATATTGTAAAGATCAACTGCAAATTATAATGATGAGGAATTTGATTTAAATCATATCAAAGATGGAGTACATTGAGATGAAATACTACATTTAGTAAGGAATAATAAGCCAAATAAAATAAAAACATCTGCCTTGAAGATAAGGATAGTGCTGACAGATCAACTTCCACTTCATTGCTCGCCACAGCGTTAAAGATAAACATAGATAAACAAGCGTTAAAGTTTAGATAAACAAAGGATATGTCTTTATCCATTTTTTGCAGCAATTCCACTTTTTGTTTAATAGACTTCGAAACATACTTTCGCTTTGTA